AAAACTCCTTAAATATTTGCGTGCATTTAATACTGCAGTCAACTGGGAGGATGATTTGTAAACCATTCCATAATAGATGGCAAGGCAAATGTTTTTAACCGCACATACAATGACCTCAAGAATTTTTTGAATACTTAAGCATACTGCATTCTGAACTCAAATAAAATATCGAACCAAGAGGAGTTTATTTTAAATGAAAGATTCACAAGACTAAAAAAAAAATAGTTTACTTAATTATTGATTAATTAATTATTATTTTTTAACTACAAGAATATATGAAGGTGCCTGTGTGAACCAGGATTATTAAAGTTAACTCAAACTAAAACCATAAGAAAACACTTGAAATAAAATAAATGGTAACCGAAATAAAATACAAAATTTATTTTAGCTACTTTACAAGGCAATTTCTAATTTTCATTTAGTTTAATTTGATGTATTAAAATAACTAAAACTGAAATAAAAATGAATAAAAACCATATAGACGTATTTAAAAACAACTGCAAAAAAATGACCAAAACTATTAACTAAAATTAACATTAAACCAGAACACAAAAATAAAATTTAATTCAAATTATTAACAAAAACTATAATATTATATCAACTAGACACTAAAATAACACTGGTGTGAACGGAATCCATTAATAATCACCTTGAGACCAAATGGTTAAAAATAAATCGCAAAAATGGTTTAAGAAAAGTAAATTAGTTAGAAGAGCTATTAAATTGTTTGTAGATGCTACTTGGTTTGATACATTACATTTTAATTCAAGCTTATTTATATATTTATTTATTAAAGATTTCATTAAGATTGTGTTTAACAAATTTAAATTAATTTACGACATTAATTTATGCACAAATAATCGCTCTCAAAAGAGAGGATTAATTAAAAAATCGTAATAGAGAAACTGCAAGTTAATGCAAATGAAATATGGCAGAACTTTAAGCAGCCATCAATTTAATCAAACACCAAATGCAAATCACTCAGCTCAAGATCAGACTTGTATTATGAAGGGAGGACAAGTCTTTGATCGCAGTATCTGCCAGATCTTACATACACACTTGTAGAAGTATGCAGGTCATACGCGAATGCTGGAATGGCTCCAGAAAAGGTGGATTTTGAGGGCATCTCATGCCATAAATTAGTAGAGGGCAACATTACACATTTGAAGGATAGACCATAAACATCTTTTACACAGAAACAGGAAGTTGCTCCAACTCTACACAGCAGAAAACCACCAAAGGAAGTTAACTGCGGCCAAAAAAAACACCACAGCCCACACACAAGACATTAAGAAATTTGTGTGATCAAAATCTGACATGAGACACTTCAGTTGTCCTGAGATTAAAACAAATCTCAATCTTAAACCAATATCAACAGCTGTTAGTGAAGCATGAT